ATATATATATATGTTTAACATGCAAGTGCATTACTGAAAAGACCATGCTATTTACTGAGCTGAATAGCTGGACCTCAAAATACACATATAGCTAAACAAGTCCAAGTTCAGGTGGCCCACCTCCCATCCCCACTTTTGCTTGGGGTGTTCAAATGGAAATTCTGTTCTGTGTTATGTATCAAAAATCAATTAACACAGAAACACAGTCAAAAAAGGGAAAAGCTACTGGTAAGTTTAGAAAACTCATAATGCTATTAGTGTAATAGGTGCACTGTGCGTTTATAGTTCATTTATAAAATACAAACAATACAACCTCAGTTAAACAGCTTGGAATTTAAAATAATAACATCTCTATAAACCACTATATAACCTTTGACACAGAAGCGTAGCAAAAGCCAACCTTACAATGAACATCACATCTCTATAAACTACTATATAACCTTTAACACAGAAGCGTAGCAAGAGCCAACTTTACAAAGAACACCACATTGTTTTTTATGAAGTAGATGGCTTTTTTTCATAGGTCCTACTGTACAAATAAAATATTACACTTGTTTTTTATATCTGTCCTATGGAGAACAGTAGGAATGTCAGTTTATATGTTCTTTGCTATTTATAGGTGTCACCATTATGAGGTCTGACAAACCAGATACTAAGCAGGGAGAATGGGAAGTCACGCTGAATCTAGAATGAGATCCTAATAGGTTGGACTTGATGGACTAATGTCTTTATTCAACCTCAAATACTATGTAACAGCCTCAGTTCTCAAAAAAACCTGTAAGTCAGCAATACAAATGGTCAATTGTAAATCTTTTGTCAGTACTAGAGAAGGTGCAACTTTAAGGAGCCACAGACCAGATTGAAACACTCTTGAAAAAAAAACACACAGTCAGCTCAAGACACAAAGCAGAGCCATCATAAACATTATTAAAACATTTCAGTTAAAGCACCTTTGACAGGACACAGGCAGCTAAGAGAATGCAGTAGTGTTATTAAACTATATAAGCAGAATGTGGAAAAACTCCCTTAAGCCAAAGTCCCCTAACCCTAATGAAAACAGAATAGAGTTAAGCTTTATACATTCTCCATAATCACTTCAATGGTGGAATTGGATTAATAAAAGTGATTGTGCTGAACAAACAGTTAGACCCAAACATGCCTATGTTACCAGGTCCAGGAGACTGATGGGGGACATTGGACCTACTAGGAGAAACATATCTTTGGAATATGTCATGCTTGGTTTCTGACAAATCCTAATTTAATTCTGTTAAATATTATTTTGGTTGTTGAAGTGTTAAACCTTGTCAGATAGAAATGTAGATGCATTTAAAAGATGTGTCATTAAGGAAGAACTACAGCAAGGGTTAAGTGCTTCTTTTGGTCTAAAATAAAAAAGATATACTCACCCTATCCTAAGTCCCGCCTGGCTGCCAGACCGGTCCCCGCAGCTTCTTCTCCCCTGGGCTCAGTCCATTGACTTGCATTGGACATGAGGATGCTAAGATATATGCAACAGCTGGAGTGGAGGGGGAGAGAGGAGAGCGGTTACCGCTGCAAGACGGAGAATCATGTGAGTGTATCTTCTTTATATTAGACCCTAAACTAAAATGAGCACTTAACCCTTGCAGTAGCCCCATTTCAAAGGTTAATATTTTACATGGCCAGAGTTCTTCTTTAAGAACTGTTAAGGCCTTTTTCAAACTACCATATTGTAAAATGTGTTACATTCCTGTCTGGGCATAGCAGTGTGTGGTACAGATTTTTCTTTTAAAAGGTCAAAATTGTAACAGCACTTCAGTTAAAACACATGGTGCCAGCTACTGTGTGCATAAGGGTTAACTGTGGCGTTAGCCTGCCCCAGTGATGTACACTCTCATTCTACTGTTGCTTAGATTGCTTTGCCATGAGCTGAAAAATCTCTGTGCAGATGCAGGATGAGGCCGAGAATACAATATTATCACAATAGGGTGGTCATCACCACCATCCAGAGCTACACAAAAAGCATACACAACAGTCTTCTGTAATAAAATAATAATGCTATATAAAGCTTTAGGTTGGGGTGAACAGAGGTTCAAGATATCAGCAAGTTTCTGCTTTCTGTTGAGAAGGCAAGCCTGGATCTCTAAAAAGGTTCTTTGCTGCAAGGTGTTTATACTACAAAACTGCTTGTAATAAAATAAAATGATATAAATGCTAGCGAAAGTGACTTTTGTTTCAAAAACATTATGTGAAGAAATGCAGATAGAGAAATTGTGGGATCATAAAAGTACCCTGTGGTGTGTGTATATTATATTTCAACCTAGATTTGCTTTTTTTTACCAAAGTTGTGTGGTTTAAGCACAAGTGCTTATAGTCTGGAAGTCAAATAATTCCCACAATTTTAATGACACTAATGAGTTTACACATTTTGTTTAATTATGTACTATTTCACTGAGATCTACTTAAAAATGGTATCCTCAACAATGCATTCCCCTTTTGATGAATCTATCTGCCAGACAAATTGATAATTGAAAATGCAAACTAGATTCCAACTCCCATTCTTCCTAAAGCAAGTAACTGTCATGAACATGCTTATAAAGCATGTGAATGACACTTTGTGAAATAGCAAACACTTTGTATAATTAAAAAAATGAAGGTTTAAATTGCATATCCACTTACTGATGATCAGCCTTAACAAAATACACATTGTGTGTGCCAATACCAAGGAAAGCAGCTGCCTTCTTCATGGAGTAGTGACACTGTTGAAAACAAAATAATGACTGTATATACAAAAGAAAAAGTGACAGTGAAATATCAGACTCACTCATATAAACTAGCTGGCAATGCATCATGACATATTTGGCAAAAGCAGTTATATACTGATGTAAGGTATTGGCAACATATGCCCAGCTGAAAGGGACAAACTCAAACATTGGCCTACATAACAAAAATATTAATAGCATCCACAATATGAATGTATGAATGTTTCAAGAACAAATCAGAGTCGAAGCTAATACATTTCTTCTGTGTAAGAGAGGCATTTTTCTAGGTACAGTTGACTTGCTGTTCACTGTGGGTAAGTTCTGACTCTGTTATCTTCCAGCACAGGATAGTTAGTCTTCATCTAATTGGATCCTGGTGCCAGAAAGGTGAGAACACAGACAAGGGCTGTACCTGTGCACAGACTATGCACAATAAACTTAACAAGCAGCAAAAATGCTTTAAACAAGCCATCTCTGACCTCTCTAACTGTAATATAGTAATATATTCTTGAATACAATATTAGTAATATACTCTTGAAGATCATCAAGGAACACAAAGAATGTTTCAGATGGCTTCTAGCAGCTTTGAAACATTTAGAAGGTTAGTCACAAAAGGGTGAAGAGTTTGGAGAAGGCAGGAGAAGTGAACAATCTAGGACAACATAGCTGACCTGGAAAGTGAGCTTAATTGGAGATTTTGCCCACTTATCCTGTCTTATCCAAACTCTTTACCCTTTTGTGAAGAACCATGTTACTGTTTGTTTACATTAGAGGGCGGGTAGCCTGTCAAATTTCTGTTTATAATAGAAAGGTTTAGGGAAAAAAGCTTTGTTGTGCCTCTGTGAACTTTGAATATGAATTCCTTCACAATGCCTATAGCTAAAGAGGTGAATAAGGGCTTGTTTCAGAGTGCTTTTACTGCTTGCTCGGAACATGTAAATACTTTAGTCTGCATGCAAAGTCTGGGCACAGGTTGACTTTAAATTGTATTTCAACTTTCGCAGCCAACGTGGGATAACACCTATTTTATAACTGTTACATTATACATTTACACAGCATAAGCTAAAAAAAATATTAAAAACATGCATCATGCCGTTTAAATTTATTTTACTTGGGAAAGGGTTCCTTGAGTTCTTAAGGGTTAAAACTTCTACTTGACCCTCCTTCTTTTTAATGTTAGGAAGAATTGTCTGGGTCAGAGGGTTTCTTCATTATCATTTGTAAAGTAGATCTGAATACTGCCTGCCCTAACAAAGGGTTCAAGGATTACAACCCTGGTTTCTGCATTCAAATGATAATGTGGGTTAATGAGAGAAACACAATCCTCACATGTCAGTCCTAAGTCTTTCTATAAGGACAGATCACTAATAAGGTGCTCAGAAAAAAAAGCCATCTTGCCTGCTGCAACAAAATATCTAAAAGGTAAGAAATAATTAAAAAAATATACAGGGTTATTCACAAAAGGGTGAAGAGTTTGGAGAAGGCAGGGTAAGTGAACAATCTAGGCCAAAATAGCTGATTTGGAAAAATTATCCAATTCAGCTCACTTTCTAGTTCAGCTATGTTGTCCTAGATTGTTCACTTCTTCTGCCTTCTCCAAACTCTTCACCCTTTTGTGAATAACCCTGATAGTTTTGGTATGCACTAACAAACTTTTAGAGGGGTTTTCTCAAACTGCAAAAATGGAAATACACTATAAGTTTAGTAAAGAAAGTGCAACTGTTAGGGTTACATGGAGGTTTAGTGTTAGCACTGGGTTTCCAGGGAAGGTTTTCCTAAAATGGATGGTGACATAGAGCAAAAGGCTGCAAATATAAATATAATATTTAATGGTTCAGTGTTAGAATTTACTGCATTTTTTTTTTGGTCTCCAGTCAGAGAGTGAATCAATTAATAGGATTTCCTTTTTAGTTACGGAATCACAGGGAATGCTTCATTTTCTAACAAAATGATAAATGAAACACCATCTTGTGATGACTAGTAGTATGTAGAATACAGTATATGCACATTTGTGCACATTACAGGAAAGGAGTTCACACACATGCAAAATGTTCAAGTTAGCTAACTGAGAGTCCCCTTGTCTTTATAGGCATGCTTGCAAGAAGAGTGTGTAAGTGCCCTGCTATATATATATA